ATTAGTAGATGGTAATGTTACAAACTTTGTTTCGAATGCTAATTCTATAAACAGGCCAAGTTTTGTAATATTATTAGTAAAGATTTTTGTGTGTCGATCTCCGTATCTCTAATGCATAAATATTGTTATCACATAAATTTTGACAAATGTCAATTATTTAAATGGACTGAACCACATAAGATATTTTTAAGTTCACAACTTTAAATTTAAAAAATTATCTACAATGCAGAATGCGATCAAACATAATATTGTCCATTTAGCAAAAAAAAAAATTATAAATAAGAAAAAAAAGAAAGTTAAATAATTAATATTTTGAAAATGGTAATAATATTTCTCTCAATTGGTTGATTAGAATGAGAAATAGAATGTGGGTGAACCACATTCTTCTCTACATAGTGGACATTAATTATGTCCACCTCATCACTACATTTGTGATTACATTGTGCATTGTAGTATTAGACATTGCTAAATGAGTTAATATAAAGCGTAATTCTTTTTTTTTTTTTTGGTACAAGAAATGGAGGCAAAGCCCAGAATGCCTAAATCAAAATATTCCTAAGACGAGCAACGCCCATCCTATCATGAAGCAGCCACATATTGACCCCCGGCGGGGGTCTCCAACCTCTGCAAACCACCCGGACACTTCGCCGCCAGAGAGGCGAGATAATTTGCCGCAAAATTGGCCTCCCGATAGCCGTGAGCTAAGTTCACTTCCCATTGGCGTCGTAGAAGCTCGAGTATACCCTTCACCAATCCACCGTGTGGTCCACTACAACGCTCGTGGGTGATCATCTCAACAACACTCTTATTATCAACCTCAGCGGAAACACGACGAGCGCCAATATCCCACGCAAGGAGCAGGCCCTGGAATAATCCCCAAAGTTCAGCTCCAACAATCGAACAGAACCCAATATTCATAACAAATCCGTGGACCCAACGCCCGCCAGAATCACGAACTACGCCCCCCGCACTAGCCATACCTGTGGATGGGTCAAAACTGCCATCGGTGTTAAGTTTAACCACTCCGTCCTCCGGAGACGACCACGAAATCAGCCGCCTTTCCCAAGAACCTCATGCACCAATGACCCGACCCCCACGCAACACATCTCATCGTCTCCATAAAAGAAAATACCTCGCTCACTCTACGATCCAAAGGGATGTCGGAGGCTTGAAAGAGCTTGAGGTTCCACCACCGTCATAGTCTCCAGGCCGTAAGACCAAACAACGAACACCAATCCTCCCGAGCCCGACTCAAGTCCCCAGTAAGGTTTTCCACAAGCCACCGTCGAATATCTAAAGCGAAAAACACACTCCAATAATGACGAGGCAGTAACTTCCTCCACATAAATGACGCCGCCTCACAGTCCCTCAGCGCATGTAACGTCGTCTCACAGTCCTTGAGACATATCTCGCAAGTCGAGCTTGCTGCCATCTGCCGCCGATAACGTGAAGCATTCATCAAAAGGTTGTCCCGGGCCGCGAGCCACAAGAAGGTGCGCACCCGCTACTACAACTACATTGTAACGTTGGAAATGGTCTAAAATAGCAAATGTCCCAAAAGTTGTTGTACACCCGATCATGTCGCTCTAACAAATTTAAGCGTAGTGAAAATAGGGCACAAATATTGTGTATGTGACACTGTAATAGTATAAAATCTTCGATATTATTTTATAGTCTTAGACTAATCTTATCTATATAACTCCTACCTCTGCAAAGTCAAAACCAGTCATCAAATATAAGTTCGTTGTAGATAATTATATTTTTACCCCTTGAATCTCGATCTTGGGTCGAATATCTTAAGGAAGATGGTTAAGAATCTCGATTTATTGTGAATCGCACCGAAAAAGGAAAATGTGTTATAAACCATTATTCAAGGTTAGTTGTGAGAAATTATAAAAAATAGGGAATATTTTTTAACCTCCCAAACAATGCCGATATTTAGAATTTGCCTTACGAACTTTTTTTCTCGCCAATTTGTGTCTCATTGTAATTGAAACTAACAATTTGTCTCCTCGATTCAAATGCCTAATATAGCACAAAAGGTTTTTAACTCAATTAACAATAAATTTTGAATTAATCTTTTAAAGTGATTTAGGGATTTTAAAGTCCATGGCGAGACAAACAAAATGAGCTATAATTTGTTAATTTCTAAAACTTGATACCTCTGTGATCGATCGAAAAAGATAGTAGAAACACGTGCGTATAGAAAAAAATTTGATTCATGTTTCTGATAATCAAGATATCGATTTTCGATTGGGAGAATTCATTTGAAAGTTTGCGGGACTAATTTCCTAATGCGTAAATCTTATGAAAATCCAACGGTCGGATTCTGATCAGTAGTTAGAAAATTACTGATTTATAGTTTGCATTTCGTAGACTACTAACCAAAATCCGACCATTGGATTTTCATGAGATTTACTTCGTTAGAAAAATCGTCTTCCAAGCTTTCAAATGACATATTTTAATCGAAAATTGGATACCTTGATTATCAGAAAATTTCAATTGAATTTTTTTCTATAAATACGTGCTCCTACTATCTCCGTCAATTGATTACAGAGGTATCAATTTTCATAACTCGATAAACGATACCTCATTTTGTCCATCTTGCCATGGGCTTTAAAAGCCATAAATCAATTATAAAGATCAATTTAAAATTTATAGTTAATTGAGTTAAAAAAGTTTTTGTACCATTTTAATTAGAGTTCTCAATCGAGGAGACAAATTGTCATTTTTGATTACTATGAGAGGTAAATTGTCGAGAAAAAAAAGTTCGTAAGACAAATTCTAAGAATCGGCATTGTTTGGGATATTAAAAAAACATTTCCTAAAAAAGATGACTAAGAAAAATAAATAACACAAGAAAATAAATACAAAAATAGAAGAAGAGCTTGGGATTTAGAAATATCCCTCCTATATATAATTCCTGAATTCGCTGAGCCTACGTGTCTGCTTCTGGTGCTTTGGAATCCTACTTGGCGAAGAATCATGCTTCGTAGTTAGGCTTGGACAAATAATATTGATATATTAATAATTAATAATCTAGGTTCGGACATTCTATAAATATTATTTAACTAACTTAGGTATTTTAATATCACTTGTACTAATATCACCTTTTAATTCTTTGTAATTTTACATAGTGAGACATTAAGTGACTAATATATCCATGAATTTTTATTTGCTTCCTTCAATTAGCTATTGAATTGTAAATGTATTTTAAAATATGATAACTTTTGTATTTCTTATCGGTTTTACATATATAATATATCAAATTAATCATCTTTTGACGATTTTCGATTTGACATCCATATTGTATATATGAAATAAATAAATTATATTTATCTTTATAATAATAAAAAATAATAATATTTATTAAAATTCATTAGAAAAATAAAATTTCTCAATTGATATATTTATTTAATATAGTTATATGTTGTATGTTAAAAAATTATTATAATATAACACAGGTAAGTCGCATAAATAAAAGGTGTCATACTAAATATATAATAATATATATATATATATATATATTTTACAAAAAGTATTTAAATTTTCAACTATTTTTTCTCATTAATTTTAGATTTTAAGAAAAAAAATTAGCAAGCACCCGTATAATACACGGGCGTTGTACTAGTTTGTCATTAAATCTTAAAACCAACATGAAACGAATAATTGTGCGGTCTATTAATTGAGTTTGTCTACACACCTCGTAGTTTCTCTAGATAACTTTCCGTAACATTAGATTAAATATAAATTAGTATTAATATCCATGTACAAATGGGTGTTGCGTTAATGAATATATGTGCAAAGTTATTTATGTCTAATATGAAACCTAACTTCATAGCAAAAATAATATAAAAACAACATCACGAAGCATAGATTTTCGCGATGTCAGCATCCGAAGCGTGAGAATCTGCCACCTAACATGAGTTTTGAATTAATATATAGGGAGTGATATGTACAAAAACAAGAATACATACGTGACTAGAAGTTCGCTCTTGATAACTTTCATAGATTAGGGTGATTTATTTATTTAAAAAAAAAACAAGTGGACAAAAACAAAAACAAAAAAAAAAAGGAGTGGAAAAAAATCAAAACCACGTATTCCCGGAATACGTTTTCCTAATTAAATTTTATTAGAGTAAACGTATTCCGGTAATACATTTTATAAATGTTTTTGTAAAATAAAAAATAATAATTTTTCGCTATAAAGTGGAAGGAATTCAATTCATAAATTAATTATAAAACGTATTTCCGAAATACGTTATATAGTTTAATTTACAAAAAAAAAATAATAAAGTATACGTATTCAGACAATACGTTTTACAATTAAATAAAAGAATAAAACGTATTCCTGTAATACGTTTTACAATCAAATATAAAAAAACACTCTCCCTCACTTCAGACCTCAGAGACGACAGAGACCAAATCTTGCAAGCACGCACAGCGGCTGATTCACAATGATTTCTCTCCGGTCAGAAGCAGCACTCGAACCGCAAGCGAGCTGCGTATTCATATCGCATACCCGATTCTTTTGCACAAGGTATATTGACCTATCTCAATTTTTTACATTGTTTTGAGTTGTTTGAAAATTGGGAATTGGTATAAAATGTTTGAATGTAGTGGTGTTTGAACATTGGGAATTTGTATTATATGGTATTTGAATGTAGTGGTGTTTGAACATTGAGAATTGTTAATTGTTTATCGAATATTTGTAGTTGAATTGGAGAATGGAAATTTATTGTAAATTGTCAATTGTGTATTGATTCATTGTTGTTTGGCTTAGGGTTTTTCGAATTAGGGTTAGAATTAGGACTTTCTATTTATTCGAAATATAGATGAATTTTATGTTATTGTTGATTATGGGTATTAGGGTTTTGGAGAATTATTTTGTTGGAAATATTTATTTTGGTTACTTGTTGAAATAATTGAATTTATTTTTGTGTTGGATTAGACATTATGTGTTGTTGTAATTGGGAAGAATGTAAATTGTCTTTTTGCAGCAGGTATTAATGGCGCATTCCGGTGCATACTTTGTTAATTTGTACTGGCATTTTCCGAAGGAAATGCTAAGTGAATTTGTTTTATTTAAAGATCATCCGGATGGTTCATTGTTTATTCCGGAGAGGATATCTTATCAACAATTGGTAGAAATGATTAATGAAAATTGTTGCTTTGGAGAAGGTTGGAGAATTAAAGAGATTACTTTAATAGTTACTCAACCCGATGGTTCGTTGAATTTCATAAGACTGAATAACGATAGTGTTCTTCAGTATATTTATTACCTTCCTTCTATGTCCATGGTGTATTTGCATTTATCGTTGGAGACAATTACACCGGTTACACAGGTTGAGGATGTGTGGGGATGTTACCGGGGAGTGGTGGATGTTGAGGGTGTGTCTACTTCGCATGTACGTAATTTTGGAGAAGGGACAAGCTCAACAATGCAATGGGAAAATGAGAACTGGGAAGAAGAAGAAGGCGATGAAGATTTCATTCCTGGTGAAGATGATTTCACTGATGAGACCTCCGAAAGCGAATCAGACAGGTCTATAAACGAGGAAAGTGAACCCGAATTGATTGAAGAGGAAGACCCTCTTCCTAGTGGTGGTCGCCACATTTATCGCGAGATGGGTGAATGTGAGCCATCAAAGATAGATGAAAACGAGTATGCTCTTCCATTATGGAATGGCGACATTGGGACCATCCGTTTGGGTACAGTTTTTAGAAGCAAGGAAGAGGCACAATCGGGTATCTTGGCTTGGAACGTTGATAGGCTGAGGGCGGTTCGAACAATATATTCTAACCAAAAGTCATTCAAAGTGGTCTGCAGATCTAATGAAGACGAACCTTGTGTGTGGAAGGTTCGAGTGACTAAGAAACGGGTTCATGAAATATGGGAATTAACTGAATGGACTGACAGACACACTTGTATGCAACGGGTTGAAAGAAATGACCACAGAAACGTAACCGCCCGTATGATTTCAAATCTTGTAGTTAACAAGATTGAAAAAAAATTGGACTACAACGTTACATTAATCCAAGCCGATGTGAAACAATGCTGGAAAGTCGATGTAAGCTACAAGAAGGCGTGGCACGGCAGGAGAAAAGCCATCGAGCGTGTGTATGGCTGCTGGGAATTGAATTTTGCAGAACTCCCTCGGTATGCAAAAATTAATTAAGAATACATGTGTTGTTTGTCTGTCACAATGTTAATCTATTTATGAAACCGTTTTGTAATTTGCAGGTATTTTGCCGCGCTTCAAAGAGCGAATCCCACCACAGTTGTGCAGTGGGAATGGCAGGGTGGGGAAATGGCGCATCAGTATAGAGACAGACAATTCAAATTTGTATTCTGGGCGTTTGGTCCAGCCATTCAGACCTTCCAACTATGCCCGCCGGTCATTAGCATCGATGGCACACATTTGCGCGGATCGTACAAGGGGAAATTGCTTGTGGCTATAGCACAGACAGCGAATAAGCGACTATTGCCAATCGCCTATGCGATTGTTGATGAAGAAAGCAAGGATAGCTGGTCCTTTTTCCTTACAAATGTGCGGCAATATGTTGTGTTCGACCGACAGATCTGTGTTCTCTCCGACAGGGATAACGGCATACTAAGTGCCATTGACTCGTTGGTTGGTTGGCAAGAACCCGCTGCATATCACCGGATTTGCCTTCGACACCTTCGAAGCAACGTGGTCACTAACTTTAAGAATAAGAAAGTGCGTGATTGGTGTTGGGATTTGGGTTCGCAACTGTCGGAGCGAAAGTTTCGAGCGACAAACAGCGACTGTTGGAATTTAATCCCCAGGCACACAAGTACCTCTTCGATATTCCTTTGAACAAGTGGACCCTGTATGGTGATGAAGGAAGACATAGATGGGGCACATTGACGACCAATATGTCGGAGAGCTACAACAACGTTTTGAAAGGCGTTAGGTTTTTGCCGTGCAGAGCTTTGGTATAGGCCACATTGGACAAAACTTTGAATTTGTTCGAACAAGAACAAAAGAAGGCCACGAGATGCATGAGTCTCATTGCTACTCAGCACTATACCGCGTTTTTGGAATTGGAGCGTACATCCGCAACCCATTTTGTGACATGTGTGGACGCCGAACATTCCAGGTACAAGGTCATAACCGGTCTATGGGCTAGTGGGAGAGGGCAAAACAGGTATATATGTTTTTTTTTTGTTTTTTTTTCCATTCAAATATTTGAATGTTTATATATATAACTCATTGTTTGTTTAACAGCTTTAAGGTTAATTATCGTGGGAAACGTTGTAGTTGTCTGAAGTGGAAGACACACAGGAAACCGTGCTCTCATGCAATAGCTGTAGCTCGTCACATCGCGCTTGATCCAAAGTCGTTGTACGATATGGCATTTTGGAAGCAGATCTGGGTAGATCAATTTACTAATTGGAGTTTTGCTCCAATTGGTACTGCGGATACATGGGCGCCGGTGGGATGAAATTTGATACCAGACTGGGAGAGGATGATCTTGAAGCCTGGACCCGGACGCAAACAAACGAGACGCTATCGCATGCAAATGGATCGTCGGGCGCGCCGCAGAAATGATAGAGGACAGTGTTCGAGATGTGGTAATCCCGATCATGTTGTTGATGAGTGT